CCTCGTAGTGATACTGCCTCGTAGTGATACTGCCTCGTAGTGATACTGCCTCGTAGTGATACTGCCTCGTAGTGATACTGCCTCGTAGTGATACTGCCTCGGAAACCCAAGGAGGGGTCGCTATGAGTCAGGGCCGACTCGACGGCACATAACTAACATAACATTTTTATTAAAGTATTTAGTTTTCTGTGAGCACTGATTTAGCTGTGAAACATATTCTGATATGAAGTATAGTCATGATTTTTTAAAGAATTTTTTAATTCCAATTTGTATTTCTTCTTTAACCCAAGAGCTAAAAAAGAAAGACTTGTGTTGTGTTTTATTTTATTATTATTATTATTACTGTTATTGTTATTTCCAAATGGAAGAAGTTTGGGGCTTTAATTTGTAATCAGTTTCTACTTCTACATCATAATCAGAATGTTTGTATTACCCCTACTTTTTAAACTTTGAAGTTTTTCATAGCTATCTATGTACATTTTCACAAGGATCCCATGAGGGTTATGTTCTTTATTTTCAGGGTACAGAGTCACCTACCACCCTCCCCTATTTCCCAAGTCTAACCTCTGGTGGTCTCAATTCCCATCCCATCATCAGGTGCTCACCATGTTTCCCCCACAGCACCTCTCTCTCCAGGGCTCGGTGCATGCTGTTCCCTGTGTCTGGCTAACACTACAGCAGCAGAAGCAGCATTCACACACCAGAACTCTCCTGCTGCAGGAAGCCTTCCAGCTCCTCCTCTACTCCCACAGCCCAAACCAAACTTCTAATTACGCATCTCCTCTGCTCCTCCTCCTTCATGAAGCAATTGTCTTTACTCTTCTCGCCTTCAGCAACCAGTTGACCCCTGCAAGGGTGGGGAATCCCACCACTACTAGGATCAAATCTCCAGCACCCAGCATCATGCCCAACACAGAGCTGCCGCCCACTAACATTCATTACAATGAACCTCTCCCTGAACCCCACCTGCCTGACCCTTATAGTTTGCTTCTCTTTGGGACCAGAAGAGTAGTCCCAGAATAAGGTAAAACCATTTGATTTGTCTCCAAACCCAGCTTTCCCTCTGTCACTTGTTTCCTGAGGTGGCCTCCCTGTGTTCCTCTGTTCCCCATGTCCTTTAGCACCCATCTCATACACTCTGAGCCCTGCAGCACCTCAGCCCCCTTCACCTGGCACTTGGCACAAGCAACCTGGAGCCTCCAGGGCTTCTATCTCCTCTCAGCTTTCCCAGATGGAGCACAGACCTTGCCTGCACCTCAGACAGTCATGGCTGGCATGAGGGACTGCTAGTTGGGTGCTTGTTGAGCCTGGGTCATAAGAAGCTACCAATCCCACCCTCAGGAACTGATATGTCAATGGGGAGAAATGAGAGAAAGCAAATGGTTTGACCCTAGTTCTGGGACCACTCTCCTGGTCCCAAAGAGAAGCAGGAATCCCACCATCCCCATAGGGGTCAGGCAGGTGGTAGGGAGAATGGACAACCTCTTCCAAGGGAGCTAGGTGACTCTTCAGGCCCTGGCTTGAGCCTCCTACCTTCTCTTCCTCAAGACTTCTAGGCCCAGCCTGGCCTAACCCTAACCTGGCTTACCTGGGAGGATCTCATTCCAGTTGACACGGATATAGCGGTCCCGGTCGGCCCGGGCATGCTCATGCCAAAAGCCCAGCACGTGCATAAGCTCATGAAGCACGATGCCCAGGCCCCTCTGGAGACAAGCAGGTGCCAAGGACACCACCTGCATCCCTCCACTGCGCCCCACATTGGAGAAGCACCTGCAGAGGCCAAAAGAGACAGTTGGGTGGTTGCCAACAACTCCAAGTCAGAGTAGATCCAGTCTCCTCTTCAGTGCTGGGATGGGTAAACAGCAGAAAGGGAGTCCCCATCCTGGGCTCTACGCTCAGGTTTGCCATTCCTCCCTAAGTCCTTTTACTGCCTAGTCTTCTAAGAAATAGGTATAATGGAACCCCATGACCAGCCTGGGCTGCAGGAGAAGGTAGGAATTGATATTAACATGAATAACAGAAACCAAAAACCAAATTCACTGCCATCAAATCCATTATGACTCAGAGACTCCCTTGGGTTTCTGAGGCAGTAAATCTTTATGGAAGTAAATTGCCCCATCTTTCTTCTGCAGAGCAGCTGGTCAGTGTGAACCACCAACTTTCTGGTTAGTAGTCAAATGCCTTAGGCACTGCGCCACCAGAACTCCTTTGAATAACAGAAGCCCCTCATTAAGTGAGCTTACCCCTGTATGGCATACCCAGTGAAGGCTTGCATACACGTTTATCTCAGCCTCCAAACCAAAAAATCAAACTCACTACCATCGAGCCATTTCTGACTCACAGTGACCCCTCCTTGGGTCTCCGAGGTGGTATCTCTATTCAAGTAGATTACCCAATCTTCCTTCTGAGGAGTGGCTGGTGGGTTTGAACCACCAGCCTTCTGTTTAGCAGTCAAATGCCTTAGGAACTTCACTACCAGAGCTCCAGTGGGCTATAAAGTAGCTGTTGTCCACCTCATCTCCCATCTCAGAGAGGAGGCTCAGTAGTTGGTGAACTCACTCAGAGTCTCATGGCTCCTACATTGAGCCAGAATTCGAGGCCAGGTCTGTCCCACAAAGTCTATACTCACCACACATAAAGTCTCCCCTGTGAATACTTTGTAAACAAGAGTCTAGCACCTTAATTCCTATCCACCCCTACCTCCCACTCTGAGTATTTACAGGTCCATCTCTCATTGGGCAAGCCTCAAGGTGGGCAGGGGGACTTTGGACCTGGGAGGAAAGACCAAAAAATTGGCTTATGGACAATACCAAATACCAAACTCACTGCCATCGAGTCGCACCTGACACATAGTGACCCCTCCTTAGGTTTCTGAGGCAGTATCACTACAGAAGTAGATTGTCCAACCTTTCTTCCAAGGAGTGGCTGGTGGGTTTGAACCACCAGCCTTCTGGTTAGCAGTCAAATGCTTTAGGCATTATGCCACCCGAGCTCCCTTACAGACAATAGCTTAGTTAATTCCAGGCTGAACTCAGAAGTTAAGGAAGCCACTCCCAGTGTGCATGCTAATGCACCGCTCCCCCACCCCCCAACTTATGTAGCAGCACTTACCCAGACATTGGGACAATGGAAATGAAGTCTCTCTGGCCCTGGTAGGAGACAAATCTGATGCACGTTAAGTGCTCAAACTCAACAAATGCCTTCAGGATGACCTGCCGGCTGAGCTCATCTGAGGAAGACACACACTGGTTGAACACCCTTCATGGCTCCTTTGAGGTCTGCATGGAAGGCAGCTTACAGGGCTTCAAACTCTCCCAATATGGAATGTTAAGAAAGGGCGGCAAGACAGTGTTGGGGAAAGAAGGCTAGGCTCCAAGCAGACCCTGGCTGTGTGACCTTGAGTGAGTCACTATCCTCTCAGACATTTGGTTTCTAAATGGACCAGATAGTCCCTGATCTACTTTCCCAATCATCTCTTTCAGGATCCTAACCCTCCAGGCTCAGGAAGCCTTGGGAATAAAAGGGCTCTGGTTGAAGGGCCTTCTGAGGCTATGATTTGGGTGGTGATGGTGGTGGGGGTGATGGAAGAGGGAAAAGAAATTCAGAGAGAAGCCAGAGCTGCATTAGGAATAAGGAATGCCACCGGGTTGAGGCAGTGAGGGAATGCCTGTGGGCTCCCAGCACCCAAAGGCCTGGAGTGAGGAAAGGCCACCCTCTCCCATTATGCTCACTCACTGTACTCGCTGGAGAGCAGGAAGGGGATCTCCACAAAGCCACTGCTACTCTTGGGCCACTTGTTACTGGCAGCTGACAACAGCCGGAAGGGACTCTGAGGAGAGAAGCTAGCTCAGGGATCCCTGAGGACACAAGACCACCCAACTTCTTGCCCTCAGGTCCTGCCACACCTCAGGCCACAAGAACCCTAAAGATATGAGGGGCAGGAGGACCTGGGGCTTATGAGGGTAGAGAGCCCATAAGTTCAATAGAAGCTTAGGGAGTAACTAGGGCCTGTTACATGCATTACGATGCACAAGACAGTCCTTGGCTCTGTGATAACACAAAAGCTTATAGTTTATTCCATGAAGCAGAGATAAAGAAGTAACAAACAAATACTCATCCCTGAGGAGGTTGGCTAGGTATCCCAGCACCCCAGGGTGCCCTAGTTCAGAAGGATGCAGGGCTCTAGACAACAGCACCAACCTAGTACCTCAGCAATGCCCTTCCCCAGAGGACAGCAGCTCACTGAGCATCTTTGAATGTGGAGGTGGAAAGAAGATGGTACAGGCTCTTATCCAGTTTGATGCTAACACGCCACCTCTGCTCTCAGCAGCATCTTTCTCCATTCTTCCACCAACCAAAACCCTTTGAAGCATGGGTTTCACATCCACTATCATGCCCTGCCCTCTGGCCAACATATTTCATTTTATTCTATTCTATGGTGGCCAGCTATTCCTTGGAAGGAAGATGGGGCAATCTACTTCCGTGGTGATACTGCCTCAGAAACCCAAGGAGGGGTTGCTATGAGTCGGATATGACTCGACGGCAGTGAGTTTTGTTTTGTTTTTAATGGTAGTCACATGGCTGCCCTTCCACATGCACTGTCTGGACAATAGGGCCCTCACCCTGTATCAGTCTGCCTCGGCCTGTTCTCCCACTCCAGCCACAGCCCTAGAGTCAGGAGGTGGCCTCCAAACCAGCAGAACAGTCTGGCTTCCCACCAGGTCACTGTTCTATTCAGGAGCTTCCTGCCATCCCAGCCCCCCTGAACATAGTAAGTAACCCCAATTCCCATCCAACCTTCTCCTCTGAGTCAGCCCTCCAACCCTAGCCAAAATGGTCTCTCTGCATTTCTCCTTGTGCTACCTCCCCAGGTCACTGCTGCCACCTAGGCCCCTCACACTTCCTTACTAGGCCCCTCACACTTCCCTACTAGCTACTTTCCACCTGCACGTGTTCACCTCTTCCTTTATCACAATATTTTCTGGGTACCTCCCCTGGGCAGGCTACCATACTGGGTCTCAAGGATTCCTCCTCCTCCAGGAAGTCTTCTCAGGCTGACTACTGCTACCACTTCAGATATCCTCCCAGCACTCAAACTGACTTTAAAAGAGAGGGGTGTCTATCAAGCTATGATCAGTTCCTTACATGTCAAACCCCCATGATGGGTCCTGTCTGAAGTTATTTACACCCGTGTGTGTGCATGGACATGTATGTGTGCATACTCACCGGTCGGATGATGTCCCCCTCAAGGAGAAAGCTGCTCTCTGGGGTTTCCTCTGGGATGAGCTCTGAGAAGGAAGAAAGGGATGTGTGTTGGTCCATTACCTCCTGAATACAGACTCCAGGGACAGACCTAGGGGAGGCTGCCATTGCCAGGTAAAGCAACTCTGAAAGGTCTGTCCTTCCTTTAACTTTGAAGTTAAAATTTCCCTGGGTACTGAGGCTGTCGCACAGCCCTCTTGAGTCCCAATCTAAATATATATGCTGCTTCTAAGCCTGATCAAATCCTTCCCCTCCTCAAGCACAGTCTATAGCATCCACAGCTGCCATAACACAGTCAAATTCCAGCTCTTCTCACTTGTGTCCAAGGTCCTTTGCTGTTAGCAGGTGACATTTTCTTCTATCTCCATCTTACACTCTAGCCCAGAACATGCCTTGGGCTCTCTTCTCCCACTTTATCCCCCACCTAGTTACTACTCATCTGTGTTACATCCAGGACCCTTGTGGTAGTAAGTGACAGAAATTCCAACTGATACCAACCATAGAAGGAGGATGAGTACTGGCACCTGCAGCTCTCTCCTCTCCACATCTCAGCTTTTCCCTGCTTCTCATCTCTAATTTCCTACCACAGCAGTCAGCCTTCTCCATAACCTTTTTACTAACAACTCCATGAGGACAGGAATCTCAGAAAAGAGGCTGGCACATAAGTGCCTTAGGTTGGATTCCTTTGAAGCAAAGCCTGAGACAGGTAGTCCTCTGGCAGTGATTACTGGGAGAGTGATCTCAGGAGAAACCGTAAGGAAGGGAGAGAACAAGAAAGGGCTGAGGAAGAAGACAATCAGCTTAAGTACAGGCTCAGCTGAATCCCACAGAAAGTTCTGGTATAGGAATAACACCACAGAGTTGTTCCACCTTGAGGCAGGAGGCCAGATTCTTCTGTCCTTTATCATCTGTCATTGACTGTGGGCCATCTATGCAGTAGTCTCCCAAGCACCTTCGACTGAAGCAGCTCATTTGGCCAAGGGGGTTGAGAGGCAGCTGTGAGGCATTAGTAGTCAATATTCACAGCAGCTGGGGAATGAGTATTTAAGGACACCTGAGCAAGGCATCAATAGCTTCTAGTACCAAAAAAACAAACCAAACTCACTGCCATTGAGTCAAGCCTGACTCATAATGACCCCCTTTGGGTTTCTGAGGCAGTAAATTTTTGTAGAAGTAGATTGCCCAGTCTTCCTTCTGCAGAGTGGCTGGTGGGCTTGAACTGCCAAACTTCTGGTTAGCAGTCAAATGCCTTAGGTACTATGCCACCAGAGCTCCTTAGCTTCTACTATAACAAGCTCACAAATAGTTGTTGGGGCCCTTGGCAACTCAACAAAGCTGAGAGTTTGCTCCATGGAGTCTGAAGCTCAATCCCACAAGAGAATCAAACCGGTTCTGTCCACTTCAAAGTTATTCATAGCGAGCAGATGGTGGGCTACCCATGTGCTCAAAGTCTGCGTACCAAAGAGCACCAAGAAAAATTCTCAGGCAAATCAAACAACGGTCCCTACATCCTGGGATTCCCCTACTGCCACAGTTCACTCCCTGTCCCTCAGTGCTTCAGCCTGGATGGATCCAACAGCTGAACTCCAGTCTCCATTTCTACCATCCTGTCCCAAGATATGGATACATTCTCATTCTTAAGCTGAGATCCCAACAGGGAGATCCTGTGCCTCCTATATCTCTGTAGGAGCTCTGGTGGCCTAGTACCTAAGGCATTTGACTGCTAACCAGAAGGCTGGCAGTTCAAACCCACCAGCCACTCCTCAGAAGGAAGATTGGACAATCTACTTCTGCAGTGATACCGCCTAGGAAACCCAAGGAGGGGTCACTATGAGTCGGATCCAACTCTACAGCAGTGGGTTAGAGTTGATATGTCTTTGTCCACCCCACCACCACCACTACCCATACTAGCGTGGAGTGGATAACTCATTCTCAAATGTTCACTAATGATTTAGCTCAACATCCAGCTCAGCGAGGCCCAAGGACCCATACTTTTATCAAGTCATTTTTAAAAGCCCTTTTTAAAAAAGTAGTAAGTAATATACTATAGAAGATACAGAAAAATACTTTTAACAAGTTGCGCATAGAACTATTGCCCACTTAGAGTTCACAGCATGCTAGCACACTTCTTCCCAGCTTTTTCTGCTCATTCAAGTGTTCAGCAGATTTTCATCACGCTACATACACAATTTCATACACCTCCAGGCCTTCAGAAGACACACTGCCCTCACCTTGGTTAATTGCAGGGATGTCCTTGTCCCAGGACATCTGGGTCTCCTCAGAGAGGAGGCCTTCTGGGGAGCTGGACTCACAGGCTCCTTGGCAACTGGAAGTTGAGGGTGCTCCGAGGATCAAACCTGGCCCAGAAGATAGGTGTATCCACAAATGCCAGAAATTGGGATGGTGTCAGATCCAAAGACCCAGCTCCTTCAAAAAGGTAGGCCTCCAGCAAGGAATCCTAGGGGCCTGCTTGGCACATCAGCCTGAACTGGTAAGAGGTACAGACAACTTCAAGGAAGGAGCTCCCTTAGCAAAACTAACACTTAGCTCAAAAGGCAGCCTTGTGTTGAGTACAGGTTGTGCATATAGTAGGGGCGAGGGCAGGCAGGAACGGATCTCAGGCTCCAACACTGATGGCAGGGTGCAGAGCTAGCCTCAGACCCTGCTCAGTGGCTTCCTTCCTCAGCCCAGGCTTCTGGGAATTGGTCTCAGCTTGGGCAAGCCCTACCCTGAGCTGGGGTGCTACCTACCCAAAGAGCAAGGATGTCTAGAGTGCCACACCTGTTATCTCTAGCGAGGCAAGAATCCCAGGAGCTTCGGAAGCCCTGACTCCCACCCCTCAGGCCCCCAGGAGCTGCCTTCTCTTTGGGACATTCTGGGAGAGCTCCTACTCTCCAAGCCATTAATATCAATATGACCCCTGCAGGCTCCAGGCATAGCCTCTGGGTTTCTCCTAGCACTCCAGAGGCTGGAACCAAAACCAGGAGGGGAAGACAGCCTGCTTACCTGGCAGGCAGAGCGCAGCCAGCACCCAAGGCCAGAGGCCTGCAACGCTCTCCATGGCGGACTCCCACTGCCCCTTTAGAAAGCAAGAGGACTAATCCCCTAGCGAGAAAGCCTCATTACCCGCACAAAGCCACCCCCTCCTTAAATAGTAGTTCCTCTGGCCCCCACCTGCAAGCCTACTCAACAGCCGCCACCTGCAGCCCCATCTGTTCCTATCTGTAGGTCCCAGCTCTACTCAGGCCCCAGCCTTCTGGGGTAGATTCCTTCCCGGCCAAAGTAGTGAGAAGGGTGGGAAGGGACAGGGAACAAGGTATCCTGAGGGGCCCCACCTGGGGTGTTGTACAGCTGAGATCCCTCCTGCCACCAGGGGGCAGAGAAACATCGCAGAAAGGCTGGCAGCCGGCTGAGACTGGAGTGCTAGAAGGAGCCTGCCTCTCGGGCCTGGAGAAACCTCTTTACTTGTGCCCCAACACTGTGCTCAGGCCTGGGAAAAGCTACCTGATACCCTGAGGCGCCCCCAGTCTAACTGTAGAAGGAGGGAAAGGTCAGTAAATGTTTAATAAACTTTTACTTCAGTATACATACAGGAATGAGCAGTCACAAACATGCAACTCAGTGAAACGTCACAGACTAAATACACTGTGTGAGCAGCACCCCGGAGAAGCCCGCCTTGTGGAAAGGACACTAACTTTGGGTTGCCTAGACCTACTCCTGGGCATTCCCCCTCTGATCCTCACAACAGCCTTATAAGATCAGCATTTATCCGTGTTTTGCAGATTGGAAACTAAAGCTCCTTACTTATGCTCCTCCTTTGCTCCCCTTAGCCTCTCAAGAGGCCCCATTCTCACCACCTGGTTAACCAAGGGTCCCCTGTGGAATTAAATTCTGGAGGTGAAATGTTTCAGAGTTGGGTGGGATTTAGGGACACATACCCTCCCAACCTATATCCACTGAAGGGAGTGACTGAGCCAAGGTCACCATCTATTGACTAAAAAGGTATTCAACTTTACTACCGTACCTGGTATCTGGTGTTTCTCAAAGGAATCAGAATCATGGGAAGAACATAATGAAAAGGCAGATACCCCAACCACCCTGGCAGGGGCCTGACACACAAATGCACTGAGCTGTATGCTTGATATCAGTGACTTGAACAGACAGACAGATACTCAAAACCAAACCAAAATCACTGTCATTGAGTTGATTCCAACTAATGGAGACCTCCATTGAGTTTTCAAAGTTGTAAATCTTTATGGAAATAGATTGCCCCATCTTCCTCTCATGAAGCAGCTGATGTGTTTGAATCACTAATCTTCTGGTTAGCAGACAAATGCCTTACTCCTGTGCTATCTATCTAGAGCTCCTAGATAGATAGATAGATGATAGGTAGGTAGGTAAGTAGGTAGATAGATAGATAGATAGATAGATAGATAGCTGCAATTGAGTCAACTTCGATGCATGGCAACCCTATGTACAGTAGAAGGAAATGTTGCCTAATCCTTCGTTCTTCTCACAATTGTGGGCATATTTAAACCCATTGTTCTGGCTACTGTGCCAGTTCATCTCACTGAGGGTCTCCCTTGCCCTTGTTGACCAAACATAATGTCCTTCTCTAGCAATTAATCCCTCTTGATGTCATATCCAAGGAGCTCTGGTGATATGGTGCCTAAGGCATTTGACTGCTAACCAGAAGGTTGGCGGTTCAAACCCACCAGGCACTCTGCAGAAGGAAAACTGGGTAATCTACTTCCATAAAGATTAACTGCCTGGGAAACCCAAAGGGGGTTGAAAGCAAGCAAATTGGACAATATTCAGTTATGATTCATAAGGTTTTCATTGGTTAACTTTCTGAAGTAGATCCTTGTCTGTCTTACTTAGTCTAGAAGCTCCACTGAAGCCTGTCCACAATGGGTGACTCTACTGGTATTTGAAATACCATGACATAGTTTCCAGTATCATAGTAACACAAGCCACCACAGTACTGCATATGGGGGTGGTACTGTAAATTATATCTCAGTAAAAGATAATAATAATATTTTTTAAAAAAAAATCCCTCCTGCTTGTGCAGCACAGACAAATTTCCCCATTCAACTCTCTGCTCTGGGAGGAATGTCAGAATTTCTACTTCCTCCAAGTGGAGCAGAAATTCAAGTTACACTTTATCTTTAATAAAAAGAAACCAATTTGTATGTAAGAAATGCATTTTGTTTGGAAGACTAACTATTAAAAACATGAGTAAGGGTGGTGGAGTGAGGGGGGGGGATGGGTGAAAGAGAGATACAATGAGTAGGGATGAGGATGGGATGGGCAAGGGCCTCAGCCACCAGTCTTCCTGTGAGTGAGATGGGGCTGTGGGGTGGGAAGGACCCAATGATCAGGGCCTTAGATGCCCCCTCTTACCACAAGCTGGGTGTGGGAGTTGTGGGAGGTCCTAATGGAACCTGCCTCATCCGGGGTCTGAAGCAGCCCTAATAGTATTCCCAGCTCTGGTCAATTCCCACCAGGAAGTCTCTCTCTCTCTCTCTCTCTCTCACACACACACACACACACACAAAGAACAAAGGGACTAAGGCATTGGGGGTGGGGCAGGGGAGAGAAGATTGTTCATCTTTCAGCAGGCTAAATGAAGTGAGTGCCAACCTGTGCCAGACACAGGGCTGAGCCAACCACAGGGCCAGCCTTCATGAATGTCCTGCCTCATAGAGATACACATCTGCACATCTGAAAACTTTCATTCCTAAGGCCCTCAGTACCTAACACTTCCTGAGCACCTACTAAGTGCTGGAAACTAGGCTAAGCGCTCTATGTGAAGCAACTTGTATAATACTCCATAGCACCCTAGGAGGTAAGGGTTCATGCTAAAACCTCATTTTACAGATAAGGAAATATACAGTGAGGTTAACCAAAACCAGAACCCTAACCCCTCAAGTTCACCATGTCAAGCACTCAGAATGTCATGAATAAGAGACAGCATTCAGTGGTGTGACCCTCAAGCTAACTGTTAAAGAACAAAATGTAAGTAGCTGGATGGCACTCAGAGTGGTTGGAGTGGAAGCTGGGCATGACTGGCTGCACAGCCGCCCCCCAGGACCTCAGCATCCCCTGCTGTCAGGTGAATCACTGCTCCCAAATCAGACAGCCTCTGGGAGCCTCTTTTGCTTCTAGATTGGGCTGGGCCAATCTAGACATGGCCCCCTAGACACCCTAGTGTCCTGTGCTGGGCATGTAACTGATTTTCATTGAAAACATGCTAGTTGGGTAGGTAGGAAGAAAAACTAAGCCCATGTGTATGACTACCCTCCAAACCAAACTGGGGACAGAAAGAAGCTCTGAAATGAGGACTGCCTTGAGCCCCTGTGTGGATAGACACGCACTCTGGAGCCTGGGGTCCCAGTCTGAGAACTGGGAGGGGAGTTAAGAGGCTGTGCTGTCCTACTGTGTGAAAGTAGAGCCCTGGCCCAGCACACACACACACACACACATACACATGGAAGAGCCACATGTATGGGTATATGCACAGACATACACTCACAGAAACACCTATATGTGACACATCTACACATACATAGGAACACCACACACATGGGCCCATGCAGTCACATACAGACACACACACATCACACATGCTCCAAAGAGGAAATGAGGTCTAACCAGGGCAACGCTGAGCCCAGACAGGAGACTTTACCCCACAAGGCCAAACCCAGCAAAGGAGTACAGTTGGAGCCAGCCTCTTAGAAATCAGTTCTGTCAGCTCTGGTGACAGAACCCTGTCTGGGAAAGGACACCAGCCCAGGAAGAGGCCCTGGAGGGGAGATGGGGACATCCTCCTAAAGGTGAGGTCAGACCTGCCCGTTTCCCCTTCTACCCTCCCGTCTTCCATTCCCCTTGCACTGGAAGCAGAAAGAAAGGTGAGATCTGAATAAAAACAGCTTCTGAACATTTTCCCAGACACTGACTGGAGACCAGAAAGTTAGGAGGTTGTCTCTTTAAACAAAACAATATTTTATTGACACATCTTCAATATTCTGCATAAATATAAAGTGCTAAGTTTCCAGCCCCCGCCCACAGGGCTGGGAGGAAGTGGGAGTGGGGAGTGTTAAATGTCAGTTGAACACAAATAACTTTCCAGTGCTAACACAGGCATGAAAGGCTCACAACCATACACACGCAAGCAAGAGGTCGATAAATAGAACATACACACCACTTTCCCCAGTCCCAAGCTCCCTGGGGAGCACAGGGCTCAGGGTCCAGGCCCCGGGGTGGACCATCCCCAGACAGGGCTCCTGGTTGTCACAGCTTGTTTCTTAGAGGAGGCTGCTCTCAGGCTGCCAAGGGACTCAACAGGGAGGCACAGGCCCCAGAGAGGCCATGCATATAGAGTTCAGTTCATCTCTGCCAGAGGATGAGGGGACAAGGGAGGGAGACACAGCCTCCATTCTTGTCCCCTTAATGACAGCCAACCCTCAAACTCCTTGCAGAAGAACACCAGATGAGAAAGTCCAGTATCCCTGCACTCCTAGCACCCCCACCCTGGGGGCTTTGAGGGGGTGTGCTAGATCAGAGGGGAGCAAAACTGTCCACCATCAGCTTCCCCCAGGAGTCGGTGGCTGTGGTCACATTGGCCAGTGGAAAGCTGGCACAGTGGTACCAGCTATGGGGTGAGCATGTAGGAGAGGACCTGCTTCAGTGACACAGCACCTGGGTCTCAAACTGCAGCAGCTGGCCCATGAAACTGAAGTTGGGTGAAATGACTCCACGGCGTTGCTTAACAAAGTCAAAGGCCTCGTCCAGCCGCACACGGTGGCTCTGTATCAGGTATGCTAGACAGATGGTGGCAGAGCGTGAGATGCCCGCCTGGCAGTGTACCAGTACTCGGCCTCCGCTGTTCTTCACAGAGTCTGCAAGGAAGATCGTGAAGAGGGGTGTCAGAGGGGAAGAAGCACAAGGTGGGGCACAGGTACCCCAGTCGCCTCCCTTATGGCCCTCCCATGTCCAGGGGCTGAGGTTGCCCTCTTACCAATGAAGCCTATGGCTTCCTGGAACCAGGCACTAATCTCCACCATCTGGTTGTCCTCTACAGGGATGCTCTTGTAGTGAAAAAGGCCCTCAAAGTGGTTAGGGCAGCTGGCAGAGACATTGAGGACCGCTGTGATGCCGCATGCCTGCAGCCCCTGTAGGTCTGATGAGTGGCTACAGCTGCCCAGGAAGAGGTAGGGCAAGATCTCCACAGGGCCACCCTAGAAAGGGAAGAGGGGACCAGGTGGTAAGACCTCCTCAGCCCAAGCCTGGGGGGCTTGAACACCAGCTGGCCCCAGACAAGAGGAATCCTCCTGACTGGCTCAGTCTCATAAATATGATGAGGGCACTGAACACATGGAGATACACATAAAGATATGCACTCACAGATACACACGGTCACTCTCATGCTCTAAAATACACATGAAGACACACCCAGACCCAAACAGCAGACATGAGCAACCTACATCCATGCACACACCAACTTGTGTTCCATTTGCACACCCACACACATACACACAAAGGTGGGTGTGTACATGGATAGATTGCTCATATACACAAACGGTAGCCTCTCTCCCCTGAGGCACCTAGCCGGCTTGTGGGTAGGGGGTAGTGACAAGGAGCCCTAGCCTCAACTCACCTGGTCATAGAAGGGAATCCTGTGGTCTGGACGGCTGTTTTCCGCCACAGTAGGTGGTAGCGCCAGGACAGGGGACTCAGAGCACAGGTCTGGACAACAGGCCTGGAAGCTGTCAAAGCCTCCTGCGGGGAGAACACGAGCCCAGTTGAGTGGAGAGGGCTTGGTAAAGGTGGAGAGGGGGAAGTGGGGAGCAGGCCAAGGGACTCAGTCAGGCCTGGAGCTCGTGAGAGCAGCGCTCACCTCGAAGGAAGCACACAGCGGTGGGTAGGGCTCGAGTCTCGTGCAGCAGTGCGGTGAGCAGCAGGTGTGCTGGGCTATCCGATCCGAGCTCGGACACCGAGGCGCTGCCCTCGTCCAGCACCACGGCCCGCGCCAGCTCCCCGCGGTCCAGACGCGCCCGCAAAGCGCGGTCAGGCAGCAGGCAGGCGAGAGCCGCGGCGGGCGGGCCGCGCGCACGGCGCCGTAGCAGCGCGTTCCAGGGCACCGGCCGCGCGGACCGCACGTGGCGCCGGCAGAAGGCCAGGAAGGGCCGACAGTCCAGCAGGAGCGTGAGCTCAGCCTCCCGCGGCTCCCGGAGCAACGCGCCCAGGGCACTGCTCTCCAGTTCACACGCTGCCTCCAGGCCCATAGCACCGGCGTTCGTTCAGCGGTTCTGCCCTCGGCGCTCCTCTTGCCGGTCTTTGTGCTTTTCTTCCTTCTCTTCTTCCTCTTCGTCCAAGTCCTCGGGCTCTCCAGCGATCGCGCTGCCCCAGCATCGGTTCTGGGCGCCCTCTCAGCATCCCAGCTTAAGTACCCATGGGCCGGCCCCCGGGTCACCATACAAGGACAGAGCAGGAAGGCGCCGGGCGCCCGCCCCCGCGGCCTCACGTGGGGCGCAGGCTGGGCCGGCCTGCGGGGCTCCCGGGTAAGGCTGGGGTGGCAGTCTGGGGATGGCAGGGAAGCCGCAAGGGGCAGGGGGAGGAATCCCAGGGCGCAGCTCTTAGGTGAAGGTGTTCACTGGGGCCAGTGGAGTTTGAATGCCCCTCTCCCCTAATCTAAGCTCCTCCACCCTTCTTCCTCAAAGCTTCGCAGTCCTTGTGAACTCAAGCTTCTCAGATCCACATCCCATCCTCAGAGACTTGAGGTGGGGGTAGGGGGACAGTGGTGCCCCCATCCTTGCTTCCTCTCCCTTTTCCCTTTCCCTGCCAGGAAATTTTCTCCCCTAGGAATTTGTTACAATAAAAATTAACAGATCATATAAGCTTGTCCATGGACACACTCACCCTTGAGCGTTTGAGAGTGTACATGGGTGACTGTATACAAATTTGTGCGTGCTCAGTGTGAGTTGCTCATAGGTGCTGTCTGTGGGTTGGGTACCTCTGCATGTGTATTTTGGGGCTTGAGGGGGCTATATGTATCTGTGGATGTATACATGTAAGTGTCTCTCCCCTTGTGTTCAGTGCTGTGTTCCAGAGTTACATTCCTGGTCAGGAGAGATCCTCTTTTCTGGGGCCAGCTGGCGATTATTTCTACATTGGAGTATGGGGGTAATGTATCTTTTTTCATCTACTTAGAAACCTTGGACAAAAGAACTTTATCTCCCCTGCCTTCCTCCCTCCGCCTTTCATTGTGTGGATGAGGATGAGACCAGCACTCAGGGTCTCGGGGCAATTAGGGGCCAAGCTGGGCCAGAACAAAGTCCCCTGGGGTCAAGCCCCTTGGGTACTGGGATGACTAGGATGAGGAGGCTCCTGGGGCCTTCTAGGGGAAAAGACAAGGGGCTGTGACGAGTTTCCAGTTACGAACCAAAGCTTCTTCCCCTCTCCTCCTAGGAAAATCCCAGGGCCCAGGGAGGCATACTTCCCCATGCACAGGCCAGCTCTGAAGGGGAACTCTGTTGATGCAGTGGGCTCTCCCCAGGGGCTCCTGGGAATTTCAGGCGCCTCACTAAGGGGAAAAGGAGCTCTGGTGGCATAGTGCCTAAGGCGTTTGAACTGCTAACCAGAAAGTTGTCGGTTCAAACCCACCAGTCACTCCATGGAAGGAAGACTGGGCAATCTACTTCCATAAAGATTTACCACCTTGGAAACCCAAAGGTAGTGGCTATGAGTTGGAATCAGCTCGATGGCAGTGAGTTTGGTTTGGTTCTTTTCACTAAGCTGAAAAGAGAGAAGAGCTAATAGAATCTGCCTCTCCACCCCTTACTCCCACCCTCGTCCCAGGACCACCTCAGCCAGCAGCAGACCTCAGAGATATCCAGCCCTCCCCCAGGACAGCACGAGGCACTTGGACAAGGTGATGAACAGTAAGAATGGGGAGCTGGGTAATGTACATACCTTCTGCCACCCCCACCCCAGCTGCCAGCTCTGGTGCCGGATGTGGTGAGCCCCAGGTGTGCGTGGGGTGTCTGGGCCCCTAGGCCAGGCCAAGAAGTGTTGGCAGCCAAACTCTGAAGCAGGGAAGCTGACGTGGGTGGGGGCAGTGCTCTGAGCTACAGCTGCCCCAACTCCATCCCCTCCACCCCCAGCTCCCTCACCAGCAGCGTGGGATTTCAGGACACAACCCCTTAGACCCTTCCAGCTCCCCTGCAAATCCCCACGTGCACACTCTCTTGAAGGGCCACAGCTAGGGCCCCCATGGACCCCCAAGCCTTCACTTGACTTGTAAATCCTGAACTGCTCACAATCATGTGTTGAGCTGATTGTTTTAGTGTTGCCACATGATATGTATGCAGTTCCACTATGTTTGAGATGAAAATTAAAGTTTTGTGTCTACATGTGTATGTGCTGGGGTGATTGTGGGTACAAGGGGACATGTAGGAGCTGGCCATCAAGAGAGAAACCCCAAGGACTCTAAAAATTCCCGAGGCCAACAGCACTCTCTTGTACCTACCTCAGTATTCCCATCAGTAAAATGGGAGCACATATTAGCTGCCCTCCCACATTGGTTCCAAGGCTATGAGGTTAAGCCATGGCCTAGGCCTGCATCTAAGGCTGCATCTCTTCCTAATGGGTTAGTCTGGAGGCTGATGTGGCAAAGCCCACAAGAGAGCCGGGGAGTCTGGGCCACAGATCCCAGAAGCTGATATGGAGCCCTTATCCTCGGCATCAGCCTGGCAAATGACTTAATGGCTAACTCCAGGGGCAAATTACAGAGCACACAAAGATAGTCAGGTCCTGTTTTGCTGACCGATGAAGCTGGTGTCACCTGCCACTCTGACAACTACAGCCATCCAGCTCCACAGGGAGGAGGTGGGAGAAGAGAGGACCCAGCCAGCTGGGAGCCCTGACTCAGGAGTTACAGTCAGCTCAGCCTTATAGGGGGCTCCAGACTCCAGACGCCCACACTAGGCTGCTCCTCTTCCTTTCCTTCTAGAGAACAGTGTGAACCTTGCTGGGAAATTCTGCATGGGGGTGGCAGTGGGATGTAGGAGTAGAGTGTAGGGGTGGGGGTGGTCACTGCTAAAGGTTTGCTCTAATGTCACAATCCCCTGGGGCCTTGCTGAACACTCTGGCCAGGTCCAGTGACCTCTGCCCAAAGCGGCTACATACGCATCACCCCCTCAATCCCACTCATTTTGGAACTGTCCCCTTTCTACCTCTGGAGCACATGTTTGACTTAGTCATGAAGAAGGGCTCCCCTTTGCTTCCTTACCCTATTCCCAAAACGGGGAAACCCCCACCCCCAGCAGCTGGTGAGAGCCCCCAGCAGGGGAAAGAGAGAGGGGGAGAGAGACATGTAAACCCATGTGCCAGCTCCACTGAACTGAGCCTTGAGCACCATGGTGGAGACATGGTAGAGGGAAGTCTGGGGTGGGGTCTCAATTACTCTGATGCCCCACTGGCTGCACATTCTCTAGTGAGGACCCCGCCCCTCACTGCTACATGGTCAGGGGATGAAGGGGTGTGTGCATGCCATGCTCAGAACTTTTTCTGGGTCTTCTGTGTTTTTGCTTTTTTCTTGGCCTGATTGTTACAAGGCAGATACTATCAAGTTAGTTTGGGGCTCAGGTTTTTTTTTTTTTTTTAATTAAAACCCCGTGATCCTCAAGTGGAACAAATGATGGTGTGTTATTCTTTATGTAACCATCTATTTTGTCTGCTGTTTAAGCGTCATTCACCTTCTGCCTTTGGGATTCCGGGTCTTCCCCTGCCCCAACATCATGTCTACCCCAGCCCCATGCAGAGTGGTTTCCCTTCCACAGTCACCAAGCTCAGTGCTGTTGTTGCATTGGGTTTTCCTTCCTCTTCCTCCCAACCCCCACCCCAAGTATATGCCCCCAGGGAGGAAGGGAGAAATGAGAGGGTTTGGCTAAGATCCTTGGGCTCAAGTGGGCACAAAGGTGAGAGTGATGGGGCCCCACCTCCAGCCCTCCTACCCTGACAGAGGGGTGAGTCAGGGGTGACGTCAGCCTTCCTGTGCAAGGACTCTGATGACTAGGAGGCCACGGTCGCCCCCACAGGCTCTTGCAAGGCAATGCCAATAACTTCACAGGTCGGGGCCCCTCTGAGATAGTCTTATTCAGCATGGTGCAGTGGCCCCAGGAGACCACTTGCTGGTTTTCCCAGGGACGTTTCCCACCAGTTTCCCAGCCTGAGGTGGTGCCTGTCTGCTCCACCTGCGTGTTCCAGAATCTTCAGGGGTAGAAAGGGCTCAGCTTGGGCATCCAGCCTTTCTCAACCAGGGTGGGTGCAGGAGCCCAGGGCTGCTCCTGGGGAAGGTGAAGCAGGAAGCTGTGAAGTATGTCTCAGAAGTGGGCCCACACAAGGCTGATGCCTGTCATTACATGCAACTTTATCTTATGCATTTATATGGGCAGGAGTAGATATGAGCAGCTATAGTGGGGAAGCTTGCATGGGCACAGTGGGACTTCCTCTGAGGACCCTGCCTTCCTGATGGATGTATGGGGTTGGGGGAGGCAACCTGGACCCCTCCTGACCCTGGCCCTGCCCACTTGCTCAGTGTACCACTGAGCCTCAGGGCCCCCCATGCACCTCACTTTGCGCAGTGTGAGGTGGTGCTCAGTTAACTCAAGGCTGGATCCAGACACGGCACTGATGAATTCTGAACCACACAGTGAGGAAACTGTGTTTTCCAAGTCTCTTTTAATCATTCCTTCTGAATATGTCAAGAAGACTAAGTTTGGTGCTGGTGTGACACCTTGGAAGAAAAGCCTCACGACTGACTTGTGAAAACTCAGCCATTGCAAACCTTGTGGAACACACACGGAGTCACCATCAGCTGGAATTAACTTGTCAGAAATGGGTTAAGGAGTCTCTGGGTGACACAAATAGTTGGTTAATCGGCTTGGTGGCTAACTGAAAGGTTGGAGGTCTGGGTCCATCCAGACATTCCTCAGAAGAAAGCCTGGTAACATACTTCCAAAAAATCATCCACTGAAAACACTGTGGAGCAGTGTTACTCTGACACACGCATGAAATTACCACGAGGTGGAATCAACGCAATGGCAACTGGCAACTGGTCGCTTTAACGCCTTTCTGCTACTTGCTTTATTTCTTCTTAACAAGGAAGCTTAGTGCCCTCCTTAAGCATCTACATTCTTTCTTCATTTATTCATTCACTCAACTCCTCCAAATAAAAATTCGAATATTTTCCAATGGTGGTGTAGTGGTTAAGGCATTTGGCTGCTAAC